TACATGTTGGTGTGTCAGTACCCACATCACTGCCCTCTCTGTCCCAGGGGGCTTTGCATGAGTCTTTTTGTGCACATACAGCTTTTCTCCATGCATCAAAATTTCAGTCCTCTAGCCTAAATGGGATTTTTACTGTTTGGAAGTATTTACCTAGGGTGTTACTTAAGCCAGCAGTCTATCTTGAGAGTTCTGAAGCTCCCACTGTCACAGCTAGTCAGTCCTGGCTGTAGGAAACAACTAGAGATGTCTTAAGAGCTACGTATGAAAATTAATTCCTAGTCTTAATTTGCAGGCTTCTGCTGGTCATGATGTAGTCCCACTGTTTCAAAGCATTTTTTAAAAAATATAGATGAATATTCACACTAACCTAAGTGGATATAACATTGGAACTTCCACAATCATCCATTTCAACATCAAAGTATCATATGCTGTTTTTTGTTCATACTATGAAAGCAAAAATGCTGTCAGCACTGCTATTTTACTGCGTACCAGTGAATGTGTGCTTATGCTGAAAGCAAGTTAAAGGTATCTTTTTCTCCTTTATTTATAGCATGTTAAGTGTTTGTGCAAGTTTGCTTAAAACCCTTTATGTATAAATCAGTTTGTCCATTTTTCTGTTGGGATAGGGGCTCTCCAATTCCTTCTTCCTGTCAAAATCTTTCTACCAAGATGGTGTTCTACTGGTCTAGCTCAGCAGGAATAGGACATAGCAAACAGCTCACCTATCTGCTTCAATTTAGCACAGTAGTTTTCAACCTGTGTATCTCAAGAGGCACACTGACATGCCAGAAGAATTTCTAAAACATCCAATACCTGACTATTTAGTCCCAGACACTGACCTCTTTTCCCTTAGAATGTCAAATAAAAAAACAACAATAGCCAATACAATAGCTATCTGGTGTGAATGAATCAAAATTTTGCCCTGGCTAATGTGGCTCAATTGGTTGGAGCATCATGCCACAAACCAGGTGCATTTAGTCCCCAGTCAGGACACACGCAAGAGGCAACCAATCCATATTTCTCTCTCACAACAATGTTTCATTCCCTCTCTCTCCATCCCTTCTTCTAAATCAGTAACCATGTCTTGGGTGAGGATTTAAAAAATATATATATGCACATGTGTGTGTATATATATATATATATATATACACACACACACACACACACACATACACACACACACACACACACACACACACCCTTTTGACCAGATTGGCAAAAACTGTATTTTCTGGTGTGCTGCAGAATTTTATTAATGGATGTATGCCATGAGACGAAAAAGGTTGAAAATTGCAGGCTTAGCATGTTTGATAGAACATTACTGACCACAAAACATGGGTGTCACAGCTCAAGAAAGAAAAATCATAGTAGTTTAATTCTCAATGTGTACCTTAGATTTGTTTTTAAGTAAAAAATAAGAACCCGTACTGACTTTTCACTTGGTTATTTTGGTTTTAAAGGATAAGCTATAGGCTACGTGTTTTCTGTACTAATGTAGTGCTTATTAAAAACTTTTGTGTTGTAAAATTAAGAAAAAAATGTGGTTACAAGCAGCAAAAATTGCTTTGGAGGTGAGAATATAAAAAGTTGATTCCATGGGAAAGAGGCAACTGCCCAAAGTAAGATGGTTTCTGAGAAAATATGTCAAAAATGGAGGAAATAGTATGCAACAGTATCTGTTCCCAACACTGTGTCTTAGACCATGTTTAGTCCACAAGGTTAAAGAAATGAGAAACAGGAGCTGACAGAATGGGTGACCAAATGGCCCAGAGTCAAGGAGAGGACACAAAACCTGTCTGTCTGGCACTCTACAACTTGGCAGTTTCTGTATACTTTTTTCTTTGTTAAAAAACTGGTTTGTATATATTTAACCATTTCAATGGTTCTAAAAATAACATCAATTAAGATTGGTAGTCACATTTTCTATAAATAATTTTGCATCCTAATGCTTTGTTTTATCATATTTGTTATAATGAATATTGTTTTAAAGTTATAATGATGAAAAGGTAATGAAATTTTAAAAAGGCTATGGGAGATCTCCAGGGGCCAGGACCTCAGTGTCCCTGCATTGAAAGGAGTAATTTCAGTTTTAGGGTAAAGTCATAAAATCTAGGTCTGTGCTGTCTAATACAGTAGCCAAAGACAGCTATTAAAAAGTACTTATGCAAAATAAGGTGTGTTATAATACTTGTAAAATACATACAGAGTTTCAGACCTTGAGTGAAAAAAGAATGTAAAATATCTGGCTTTTAACACAGTATTGGTTACTTGTTGAAATGATAATATTTTGGATAAATTGGGTTAAATAAAATAGGTTATTAAAATTAAAAAAGAACAAAAAGCTATAGGAGTTACCTGATGAGGTGATAGAAGTAAAGTAAAACTGTTAGGAAGCATTAAACATAAAATAATTCCAAGAATACAAATCTACAGCAGACTATAGAAGTTTATATTCTAGGCAACACATTTAAGAATTTCAAAGACAGGTAAACTGCCCTGCCTTGTGTGGCTCAGTGGAATGAATGCCAGTCTACAAACCAAAGGCTTGCTGGTTGGATTCTGTCAGGGTTGCAGGCCAGGACCCTAGGTAGGGGCATGAGAGTCAACCACACACTGATATTTCTCTCTCTCTCTCTCTCCTTCCCTTTCCTGTTCTCTAAAAATAAAATAATAAAATCTTAAAAAAAAAAAGACAAGTAAACTTTCTTTTAAAGTTTAAGGGACTGACATATTGCTGTAAACTTTTTATATTTCCAATTTCTGAACATTAAAAATTTAATTAAATAATTTCAGTTTATAACTCATTCATCGTGTTTTATATTTTTTCCTCATTTCAGTAGACTGGTAAAAATGACATCAGGCAAACACTAGTTTAATGAGCAGTGAGAAGCAAACTGTAATTTAAATTTAATCCTAAACCCAAATTAAACAAGTTAATTGCTAAATTCGTTTTTTACCCTTTGAAAAACACTAATGCCACTTTATCTTTTGAACTTTTAAAGTATTAAAATAAATTGAATTCTTTAAGGTTTTTAGACTAGAAGCACACAGATACAAAAAATAATTAAGATCATTCTAAATCTTACAAATAGTAGTCCTGAAAATGACATTATATTGAGCATTTGTTTAAAAATGTACCAATTAACTGTAAACCTGAGATAAAGGTACTTTCCTGTCAGGAAGGATTTCAACACTGCCAGTTGTGTCACTCAATGCCTAAGGAAGGGTTTCACATTGAGCAGAAACAATTAAAGAGATCAAAAGGCCTGAGTTCTAGTGCTAGTTTTATTTGTAACTAACCATGTACAGATCACTTCTCTTTAAAATAATAGTTAACATCTATTCCCTAATTCACAAACATATGACCAAACCAAAAACCTTTTCCAAGAAAACCTCTTTTTAAACCAAGATTTTACTAATTAGCTTATAAACTATCATAAAGGTTGAGAATGACAATTTAGAGAACTTATCTTTTATCAGTCAGCTGCATAACTTAATTCTAAGATGGATAATCTGGTTGAGATAAGCATTGTCCTATTTCAACCTTACAAAACAAAAAGCTATCAACAAGAAGATAGGGATGAAAAAAAGTTAGTCAACCCCTGCCCCCCACCAAAACCCCAGTATAGAGAAATTGTTTTCTATGTTAAGAGCAGTGCTTTTACCTTCCCTGTTATCAATGGACACTCCTCAAGACTACCAGGGTATAAGACATGTTAACATTTGGTCACTAGAGAATAAATAGAGAAAAAGAATTAGCATGCTATTGAATAAAGATTCAAAATAATTCTAAGTGGGCATAAAAAACTTTATAGACCATAAACATCTATATATGTACACCATTTACCATTATAGGTATTATGAAAATCACATATATTTACAAACCCTCTTAAAAGGTAAACACCTATATGTTCTTGTATTTAGCAATGTCAATCTTGTGCAATTTAGTTTCTACTTCTGGACTTTCCCTCACATTATGGTGATACACAAAAATAAATAAATAAAAATTAAAAACAAAAACCAAAGTCTGGAGTGTTGATTCACAGAGAACTACAGAACAGATACAAATACCCTAATAAAATAATCATGCATACCACTGCTTAGGGAAATATTTTCCAGGAAATGTACTTTCACTGTTGCCAGCATCCACTTATGTTCTTTAACTGTCAACTTTTAATACAAAAATACCTTCAAGCTGATAATCATTTATAGTAACTTACAAAACTGACAAAATATTTCAGTGCTACACAAAACAGTTCTATACATAGCTTAAAGTTTTAAAATTTGCTGCTGACCTTTGATTTTATAGTTTATGGATACAATAACTACTGATCTCAATGAAATACTTTTTTTAGCTTATATGTATTTTCAAAACCAATTATTACCTCACAAAACAATAAAGAATCACTCCCTGCTGAAGAATCCTCTAAGACAAACACCAAAAGTACACAGCCAAAATATTTCAGGACAGCACATAAACTTTTTAAGACAGGGAATTTTACCAATGGATAAAATTCACGTTATCCAATGATATGTTCAGTGAAAAAAAGGATTGTTTCTCTGATGCAATGAAATATGTATCAGGCTATATATGAACTTACAAATCACCTTTTTTTTTGGTGGGAGGGTTTAGAAGGATATTTAAATAATTGGTGACACTACTACGATGGATATTTTTGAAAATAGAAAAATGGTCACGTTTAGCAAAAATACAGATATATTTCAAAATTAGAAGCTAAATTTCTTTTAAAAGAATCCTTTTTTTTTTTTACTTTCTTTGAGCTCTTACACTTTACACTGTATCAAAATGAAATTTCTATTTTTTTTAAAGATTTTATTTCTTTATTTTTAGAGAGGGAAGGGAAGGAGAAAGAGAGAGAGACATCAATGTGGGGTTGCTGGGGGCCGTGGCCTTCAACCTAGACATGTGCCCTGACTGGGAATCAAACCTGTGATGCCTGGTTCGCAGCCCGTGCTCAATTCACTGAGCTATGCCAGCCAGGACAAAATGAAATTTCTATTTAATAAGCTTTAAATGTTCAATTTATTTTATTTGCAAAAGGGAAAAAAACCAAACCAAATTTTAACAAACTATTATTAACTTAGAATTCTAAAAGCCAATTACTTTAAAACTTGGTAAATTTACTACTTTCATTATTCTGAAGGAAAATAACCTTCAAAATCCTATCAACAGTTTCTAGTCCAATTTTCTACTCTAAAAATTAAAGTTAAATTCCTGTGACACTAAATTAAAAAGTTAACAGACTATATAACTAAAATATAAACAATGCAACTAATCAATACAATGCTCTGCTACAATGAATACTTGAACAATGAAAGAAACCACCATGCATTCTAATTATATATTTCATTTTTTGCACATTTTAATTTGATTTTAACACAGTAAATTATTATATAGGTTGATTTCATCGGCTTCTTAAATTCAAACATCAATCAGCCTTTCTATACCAAATCTGTGATCCTAATCAAATTTTTTTTTCCAGGAAAAGGAAAGAATATTTTTTTAAGGATATATTACATAGCAGTAGAAACATCTTAGTGTTTCAAAATATTTACAAAGAACCCTGCTGATCCTGTGCATTTCGCTGAGGTGCAACCTGTACCCAGACTTCATCATCAGAAAAAGAACTTGAACTTCCTGACTCAGAGTCCAGCTCACTGAATCCATCTAAGTCCCAATCATTACTAGACTCACTCCGTGCATCATCTTCCTCAGTGATGAAACTCTGACCAGGTTCAAGGCAAGAAGGATAAACACGAGCACAGAGGCAAATAAAGCCAGAGTCAAACTGTAAAAGACCTAACATAGTACCTATATTAATCCACTGGTCTTCCCTAGTATCATATTCATACACAGTCACCCTGTTTTTTTTCCATTGCGGGGTGGTAGAAGTGATGAGGAGCAACTTTTGACCATGACTGACAATCTGATAGTTGTGAATCTCTGAGAACAAGGGAATATTACTAATCCTTCGCCATTCTCCCCTGGCTGGGTTATAGACCTTCATGACTGGGATGTCACAGATACAGTAGATTTCATCATTGAACACACAAGCTTCCTGAAAATCACTACGTTTAAGAGAAGCACAGTTCAACCACATATTGTGGCTAGGATCATAGCAGAGCATGCGCTTACTGTTCACAGCATAAAGGTAGTTCTGAACCACTATTAGTTCAAAGGAATAGAAGGAATGTGGTACAGGAGCCACTAGTGCCCACTGGTTCCTCTGAACACTGTAGCATTCCACTTCCTTCAATTTAATTCCAGTGATAGGGTCTCGCCCACCCAAGATGTAAATGTAGCCATTGAGGTAGGCCACATCCATGCCCTCACGACAGAGCAAGCGATCTGCAAGTTGCTGCCAACTATTCTGGGCTGGTTTATACACCCAGAGATGTTTCCTGGGCTGGGCAGCCAGGTAGATGTCATGGTCTGGAGAGACACAGACAGCGGAGGAGGTGATAGTCTTCGTGTGAGCCAAGCTGGCCAAAGGTGATGGCATTGTGTAAATGTCCCCCGAATATGGGTCATAGCACAGAAAGGGATCTTTGGGATGTCCAAAGAAGATCACCATCTCCTTAGCACACATACCCAGCCGCTGGGGTGGATTTTCTACTGTGGATACAATAGAGCTGCTGCTGCTGCTGTCAGGCTTTGGCACCACAGACTTGTACAACATGTCACCATATCGCATCTGCAGAGCTCCTTCAATAAGGCTGAGACAGTACTTCTTCACAATGGGCTTAGTCAACAGCCCTTTCAGGTAATCCTGATCTTCATCAGTGAAGTGTGTCCAGCGGACACACTTGAAGACTTCTGCAGCATTGGGACCCCGTTCCTTGGGAGCCGCCTCCAACCACTGCATAGCCACGTGACACACTGTCCGCTCACTCTCGATGTCTAGACTATCCAGGCGCAGGACAGCCAGCAGCTGGGCCAGAGTCAGATCTGCCAGAGTCTCTTCCCGAATCGGACCCATCCGGCTGAGCTGCTTGAAATTGTGGGCTATAAAGGACTGGGCCTGTGATCGCAGCTTATGATGGTCGAAGGCATCGGCAAACTTGAGGATGGCAGTGCAGTTAGCCAGGTCAAGGCGACGGGCTAGGAAGGAGGCACAGGCTTCCCGCACGTACTCGAGCTGTAGCATGTCAGAGGCGGCATAAAGGCGCTGCACGTTGGCTTCACTCAGGGACACACGACCCGTGTAGCAGTATTCCACCAACACCTCAAAAGACTCCGCATCCACATCGTGCATGGTCACATTCGCCTGCTGGCTCTCGTACATGCCGCCGGTGAACATGCTCTTGAAGTAAGGACATGCGGCTGCCAGCACGTTCCGGTTACAGGAAAAAAGACGGCCTGTGCCAGGCCCACTGCCAGGCGTCACCACCTCGATGGTCACATCACAGAGCAGCCGCGCATCATAGAAGGACTTGAGCTGTGCCAACAGGGCTGCAGAATGAGCCGTGTCCTTCAGCTCTTCCGGGCCCGTGAAAAAAGCCGAAACCGAGGGTTTGGAAATCCTCTTGGGCCGCCTCCCACCACGGGGACTGGCAAGGCGGCGCGAACGCGGGACATCTTCTCGGGACTGCATGGTGGAGATGGCGGCTGGACGTGAGTCCGAGAACCGTTGCTAGGGCCGGACTCTGGCTTCTCCTACCCAGCTCTCGCTGGTCCAAAAAAAAAAAAAAAGTCCCTGAGTACACTGTGTAGCAGGGGCCGCACCTACCTAACTCAACCGTACGCAATGGTGCCGCCTCCTTTTATCGCGTAGGGACTGCTGGACTCACCCTCTTCCAGTTCCACGCCCTTTCTCCGCCTCAGCTCAGCTAGCCCTCACTGTACCGGGTGGGCGAAACCAAAGAACCCCCGTAGCCGCGCTGGCAACACTGGTTCAAATCCTGAACTGCGACTCCCAGATTGCCTTTCGCACCTCGGGGTAGACCGAGGCTGATGGGCAAAAGCCGCTTTGCATGTTGGGAGTAGTAGTTTGAGTAATATCGCGAGGTTTTTTTTTTAAATAGAACTGCTTTGGCTAGCAGAATTAGAAAAGCATTAATTCTAGATTTTGATACTTCAAAGCTTGGCTTTGAAATCGAGACTAGAAGCCCCGTTTCAGTACTCATTAATTATGTCATTTGTCTTAAAAAGCTGTTTTTGTAAAATAAGGAAAATGTTATTTTAGGGTTGTGTTTGGATAGAATGAGATAAATTGCGTAAGAGACCAGAAGTTTCAATGAATGTTTGTTGGTCAGAACAGTAACTAAGTGCTTACACCGTGCCTGGTATATAAAGATTTAATTATTGTTAGCTTTCCTTTTAGAATTTATTCTTTAAAATATATTTTTGTTTTAATTGTTGTTGCAGTACAATTTTCTATCCTTTTAGAATTTATAAAAATGAGCCACCCCCTTATTTGAAACCATGAGCAATTTCTGTCCAAGAATCCTCCAGTTTTTCATGTTGCTTCTTTTGAAAGTGTGTGAAGGGCATTTAACAATAGTTTCAATATTAAACAATATGCATAGGTTAAGATGTCTCAGAAGAAATGAGGTCTTAGAGAACAGCATTTATAGACGACCTCAAATATACAAATCAGGGATATAAATAGATTGGGCCAGTATCTCACCAAATCAACACTTCATCTCCTAGGGAACACGATTACTTTTATAGCTTCTTAATACGAGTGTTTTCTAGTTGTCTAATACTGCTCCTTTCTACAAATCAGTTGAAGATTCTGAAATTGTTTTTTAATTTCTGAGTTTGGTATGTCTTTATTTTTTACTCTAACTTAAGCAATGTTCTACCAAACTCCAATTTTTAGCATTCCAAGCCATTGTAACTGCATTGGAAGTTGCCAAATATGTCACAATTATTTTTTTCTCCCCTTATGAATGGAACTTTATTTTTTATTTAAAAAACTTATTGCATTTTTTAATTACCTTTTAGTGCCCTTAGGCTCCCCTCCCCCAAGCAATCAACACACTGTTGTCCATGTCCATGAGTCCTTTTTCCCTTTTGCTCAATCCTTCCACCCCCTACACCACCCCCTGGCCAGCTATCATCCTGCACCCCCTGGCCAGCTATCATCCTGCTCTCCATATAAGAGTTGGTCCCCATTTTCCTTGTTAGTTCAGTTTGTTCATTAGATTCCACATATGAATGAAATCATATGCTACTTGTCTTTCTCTGACTGGCTTATTTTACTTAGCATCATATTCTCCAGGTCCATCCATACTGTTGCAAAGGGTAGAATTTTCTTTTTTACAGTCAACTAGTATTCCATTGTGTAATTGTCCCATAGGTCTTTCATCCACTCATCTGTTGATGGACACTTGGGTGCTTCCCTATCTTGGTAACTGCAAATAATGCTGAAATGAACATAGTGGCACTTATGTTCTGTCCTTTCCAATCAGTGTTTTGGGCTCCTTTGGATATATTCCCACAAGTGGAATCGCTGGGTCCAAAGACAAATCCATTTTTAATTTTTTGAGGTATCTCCATACTGTTTTCCACAGTGGCTGCACCAGTCTGCATTCTTACCAACAGTGCAAAAGAGTTTCCCTTTTTCCACATCCTCACCAGCACTTGTTGATAGGTGTGAGATGGTATCTGATTGTGGTTTTAATTTTCATTTTCCCAATAATTAGTGATGTTGAGCATCTTTTCATATGTCTATCAGCCATCAGTATGTCCTCTTTGGAGAAATATCTATTCAGTTCTTTGGCCCATTTTTAATGGGTTATTTTTTTGGTGTTGAGTTTTGTAAGTACTTCGTAAATTTTGCATATTAACCCCTTATTATATGTATCAGTGAATATGTTCTCCCATTCTGTGGGTTGTCTTTTTATTTTGTTGATGATTTCCTTTGCTATGCAAAAACGTTTTAGTTTGATGTAGTCCCATTTGTTTATTTTTCTTTTCTTTTCTTTCCCTTGCCTGGGGATATATATCTGATTTAAAAATGCTATGAGCAATTTCTGAGATTTTGCTGACTTGTCTTCTAGGATTCTTATGGTTTCGTGTCTAACCTTAAATCTTTGACCCATTTTGAATTTATTCTTGTGTGTAGTGTAAGAAGATGGTCTAGTTTCATTTTTCTGCATGTATCTGTCCAATTTTCCCAACACTATTTATTTGGAATTGCTTTTTGTTTGTTTGTTTGTTTGTTTTAAATTGGCTTTAGAAAGAGGAAGGGGGAGAGAAAGAGGCAATGTTAGAAATAATGATTTGTTGTTCCATTTATTGATGTATTCATTGGCCAATTCTGGATGACACTCTAACCAACTGAGCTCCCTAACCAGGACCTTTCATTAATAAGTTTTAACAGGAATCTTACCAGACCTTGCATTGTACACAAGTACAAGATCCTCAGAACTAGGTATTTACATATGTCCTGACATTTCTTAAATGTATATAGTAAATGCTTTACAAATAATATACATACTTGTATATGCATATGTGTGTATATATGAGGGGGATACCCCCAAATCCAGAATTATCTTCTGGAGGTCCCTTGTAGTACAGGCTTCCCCCTGCTAGGTGAGTATTCTAGGAACCCACCTGTATCAGTGTACCAGCTGATGTTGTGAAAGTTGCATTTGGCTTCAGTGAATTTTTTTAAAAAATTCTTTCAACATATTTGCCCATTTCATGATGGCTGATTTATGATGCATCTGCCCACACCATGCTGAATATTCAGTAGTTTTTTACCCAAAACAGCATGACCCCTTTGCCCTACCCACCCTATTCACCCAATCTCACCCCAAGCAACTTTTTTGTTTTCCCGGATGAAAGAAGTCCTCAAAGGGAAACTTTTTGCCTATATGTAAGAGGTGAAACAAACAAACAAAAAACCCCAGAAGCACTAAAAGGCATCAAAATTGATGAGTTCAAAAACTGTTTGGAGCAGTGGAAAGTGTTTCCATAGGTGTGCTGCATCAAATGGAGAGTACTTTAAAGTACTCTCTGAAGTTTAAACATGTAAGAATAAATGCACTTTTTATAAATAAATTGTGTGTGGGGGGGAAGGTTCCCCTCATTTACATATATATGTTAATATATAAATAACTAGCATTGTCTGCTAGTTGATTTTTCAAAATCAAATGCTTAGTGATTTTTTTTTAGTTAGGCAATTTTTATTTAAAAACCAGACTGCTCCTGTTGCTAGTTTGCCATGTGTTACCATTACCTAATGAATGAAATCTTAGATATTACATGAACAGGTGGGTAACACATAGCAGAATAACTCTCAAATTGTTTTTCTCCCTTTCCTGTTAGTTGAAGTGGGTCTACTGGAAATACTCCAAGACATTTTAAACTAAGTGAGTCTCTGGGTTCCAATATCTCCTTTATACCTCTGTTGTGCATCCATCAAATAAACCAGAGAGAATTAAGTCATTAGTAACACTGATTGCTTTTTTACCTGTACTAAACACCAGCAGGTGGAAAAGCAATTTAATTTTTTTATATTGGTAACATAAAAGTTACTGCCATTGTAACAATTTTTTCAAAAGCATTTCTTTGACATTAAGTACATTTACATTATTTGCAACTGTCACAACCATCCATGTCGAGTTTTCATCTTGCAAAACTGAAATTGTGCACCCATTTACAGTAATTCTCCTGTCCCCACTCACCAAAACCTCTTGTATATTTGAAATGTGGCTAGTGTATGTGTTTAAATTTTAGAAACACAAGAATTGGTATGAATGAAATCCAATGGAGAAAGAAAAGTGTTTTCAACAAACGGTGTTGGAACAACTGGATCACAACTGAAAAAAAATATTAACCTTAACCCCTACCTTATACCAAAACAAAAATTAAAGTGACATAGTTCTTAATAGTAAACTGAAAAGTGAAAAATATAAATATCCTAAAAGAAAACATTTAAGACTTTGTGACTTTGAGGTAGGCAAAGATTTCTTAGGATACAAAAAATGCTAACATTAAAGAATTTAATAAAAATAACTTCAACAAAATTACAAGCTATGCCCATAAAAAAGCAGTGAAAACAAAACAAAAAGGCAAGCCATGGAATTAAAAAAATATTCACAATATATATAGCTAATGGCCAATAAACATCAAAATCAGCCCTTTATCATTCATCACCAGATGAATGTAAATTCAATTCACAAGAAAACAATGCACACTGCTAGAATGGCTGAACTTAAAAATAAAGTCAACAATACCAAATGTTGGTGGTGCTAGGGAGCTACTGGAACCCTTATATATTAATAAAAGAAATGTAGCCCTGGCTGGCGTAGCTCAGTGGATTGAGCGCGGGCTGGGAACCAAAGTGTCCCAGGTTCGATCCCCAGCCAGGGTACATTCCTGGGTTGCAGGCCATAACCCCCAGCAACCGCACATTGATGTCTCTCTCTCTCTCTCCCCCTCCCTCCCTCCCTTCCCTCTCTAAAAATAAATAAAATCTTTAAAAAAAATTAGTCTAAAATTCAACATTGAAGAAAATATAAATTAAAAAAAAAAAAAAGAAATGTAAACTGGTATATCCCCTTTCAAAATCTCTTTGGTAGTTTATTTGAATGTCAAATGGCCAAAAATTTCACTCCTAAGCATTTGCCCAAGAGAAATTAAAACCTATGTTCACAAAAAGACTCGTACAACAATTTTCATAGTAGCTTTACTCATAATAGCCCCAAACAGGAAATAATCCATATGTATATCAATGATAAAAATTAGTTGTGTTATATTCACACCATGTAATACTACTCAAAAATTAAAAAGAAACTTTGATGCACACAATAATGTAAACGAATTTCAAAAATGTTGACCAAAAGAAGCCAGATATACAAGAGTAGATACTGTATGACCATCTACATGAAGTTTTAGAAGAGTGAAAATAAGCTATACTGAACAAAAATCTTAACAGAGTATGCCACTGTTGGAGGAGTGGGAGTTGGTGGATTTCTGGATTGATTAGAAAGGAACACAAGCAAACTTTCAGGGGTAATGGAAATGTCCTCTTCTTGATTGGGCTGATAGTTACAGGTATATGTAATTGCCAAATTCAATGAACTATCTCTGAAGATGTGTGCATTTAATTTAGTGTAAATTATACCTCACTTAGCCTAGCCATCAAGGTTACCAGATAAACTGTCAGGTATTGTTTTATGTTCAAGTAGCCCTTATAGAAGCCTAATGCTACACCACAATGCCTGTTAGTCACCTCACTTCATCTCATCATACAGACATTGTATGATCTCACATCATTACAAGAATGGTGAGTTCAGTACCATAAGATCTTTTGAGAGACCACATTCACATAACTTTCATTACAATATACTGTTATATACAGTAAGTCCTCACTTAACATCAATAGCTTCTTAAAAACTTCAAATTAAAACAACTTATGACAAAACCATTTAATCATGGGCTAATGTGACAGTGAGATCATGATTTTCCAGCCTGCTTATTCCAGTTCAGGGTCACAGGAGGTCAGAGCCTATCCCAGTAGCACAGGGTGAAAGGTGGGCATCCACCCCCTACAGGAAACCTTTCCATTGCAGGGCACACTCACACCAACTCAGACTAGGACAATTTAGATGCCAATTCATCTCACATGAACACCTCTGGGATGTGTGAGGAAATCAGAGCACCCAGAGAAAACCTATAGTCTTGGGGAGAATGTGCAAACTCCACACAGACAGTATTCTTGGCCAGGAATCAATTTTTTTTTTCTCCACCAACATACCAAAATGACATTATTTGAGGATCTGCTGTATAGGTATTTGGTACTGTCAATGGTTTCAGGCACTCACTGGGGCCTTGGATATACTTCTCCTCGGACAACATGGACTACTGTACACCATGCCACTTTGTATTAGAGTTGATGATTATATTTTGGCTTCCTCACTCAACTGGAATCTCTGTGAGGTAAGGACTAGGTTTTATATATCAGTGCACAAAACTGATAGCAGTAAATTACTCAATTTACACATCTGTTGAAACTCATTAAGCCAAAGAATAAGAAACAGAAGCCAAGCAAAGAGTCTGCTTTGATTTTGGCTTGTAGTTTGTACACCACAGAATTCATTCAGCTCTCAAAGAGCTTTATGATCTGTATCCTAGAGATACTCATGGTTATTGACTCACATTCTTCACAACTTTATTTTTTTATTGAGAAGTAGCAAGTTAAGCCCTGGCTGTAACAGGACTAACAATACTTTGTCTTTAAGTAGGGGCTTACAAAGAAGTTCATAGTTCTTTCATCACTGAATTTTCCCATATTATGAAGTCTTGAAGTAATAGATGAAAAATGTGTTTAAATTTATAGATGGTTTTAAAAAAGGGCCTATAAAGTGAACATGTGACCTGTCCCAAATCACCTAATTCTGAAGACCTTATTTCTCTTTTCAATTATGTGTGTTTGTCTGTTCTACTTGAAGAGTTGGATTTTACTTTACAAAAACCTAAAATAAACTCTTGGGTCAAAAAATATGACTCAATTCGTTAAAAATTACACTTGTGAGTATTGTGTATTTTTAGCTGTTCTTTAGGAACAGCTAAAATCTTCTTTAGGAACATTCTCAAAGATTTCCATGCCTCAGTCAGTTTCTTGCCATAGGTCCATTTCATGTATGTAATAATAAATCAGCATTTTGTTGATTTAAGGTTTTTATCCAAAACTTCAATAATGGCTTCTTCGTTTGACGATTGAAGCAGTCTCTGAATTAGCTGATCCAGGTTCTTCTCCCCACATAAAAACTTCTGGTAAAAGAAAGAGTTACGAAAATATGATTAGTAAATAAAGGAGAATTGAAGCAAAGAATTAAATGTATATTTGTATCATTTCTTTACAGTCCTTGTTTAATAGCAACAAAGGATTACTAATATACAGTATAATGAATACAACTGCTAACTTGAGAGAACACTCACTGTTGACACAAATCATTCACAACTTTTATTTTTATTGAAAAGTAGCAGTTTAAGCCCTAAATGTAACATAATTAATAATGCTTTGTCTTTAAATAAGAATTTATAAAGTTTATACTTTTTAAAAATATATTTTGATTGTGCTATTACAGTTGTCCCATTTTCCCTCCTTCACGCCCTACTACCCTGCACACCGTCTCCCACCCACATTCCCCCTCTTTAGTTCATGTCCATGTGTCATAAGTTCTCTAGCTTCTACATTGCCCATACTATTCCTGGCCTCCCCCTATTTTCTACCTACCATCTATGCTACTTATTCTCTGTACCTTTTCCCCTTCTCTCCTCTTCCCACTCCCCTACTGCTAACCCCCCATATGATCTCTATTTCTGTGGTTCTGTTCCTGTTCTAGTTGTTTGCTTAGTGTGCTTTTGTTTTTGTTTTAGGTGTGGTTGTTAATAATTGTGAGTTTGCTGTCATTTTACTATACATGTTTTTTATCTTCCTTAGATAAATCCCTTTAACATTTCATATAATAAGAGCTTGGTGATGATGAACTCCTTTAACTTGGCCTTATCTGGGAAGCACTTTATCTGCCCTTCTATTCTAAATGAAAGCTTTGCTGGATAGAGTAATCTGGGATGTAGGTCCTTGCCTTTCATGACTTGGAATACTTCTCTCCAGCCCCTTCTTGCCTGTAAGGTCTCTTTGGAGAAATCAGCTGACAGTCTGATGGGAACTCCTTTGTAGGTAACTGTCTCCTTATCTCTTGCTGCTTCTAGGATTCTCTCCTTCATTGTAATCTTGGGTAATGTAATTATCCTGTGCCTTGGTGTGTTCCTCCTTGGGTCCAACTTCTTTGGGACTCTCTGAGCTTCCTGGACTTCCTGGAAGTCTATTTCCTTTGCCAGATTGGGGAAGTTCTCCTTTAGTATTTGTTCAAATAACTTTTCCACTTGTTGCTCTTCCTCGTGTCCTTCTGGTACCCCAATAATTAGGATCTTGGAAAGTTTAAGGATGTCCTAGAGGTTCCTAAGCCTCCCATTTTTTAAAAGATTTTATTTATTTATTTTTAGAGAGGGAAAGGAGAGAGAAAGAGAGAGAGAGAGAAACATCAATGTGCGGTTGCTGGGGGCCGTGGCCTATAACCCAGGGATGTACCCTGACTGGGAATCGAACCTGCAACACTTTGGTTCACAGCCTGCGCTCAATCCACTGAGCTACACCAGCCAGGGTCCATTTTTTTTAATTCTTGTTTGTTCATTCTTTTCTGTTTGGTTTCTTTCTTCCTTCTGGTCCACTCCATTGATTTGAGTCCCAATTTCCTTCCCATCACTATTGGTTCCTGTGCATTTTCCTTTATTTCACTTAGCATTGCCTTCATTTTTTCATCTAATTTGTGACCAAATTCGACCAATTCTGTGAGCCTCCTGATCACCAGTGCTTTGAACTGTGCATCTGTTAGGTTGGCTATCTCTTCATCACTTAGGTTTTTTTGTCTGAAGCTGTGATCTGTTCTTTCATTTAGGCCACTTTTTGTCTTGACTTGCCTGTTATGCAGTGAGGGGCAGAGCCTTAGGTATTCACCAGGGTGGGGCAACCCAGTTGCTGTGTTGTGACACTGTGTGTGGGGAAGGGGTTGACAGGGAACAATGGTGCTTGCTTCACTCTCTGCAGGATTCCAGTCACTTCCTCTGCTTCCCCCAAGCAAACTGGGCCCTTCTGGTGCCGATTCCCATGTGGTGGGCTTGTGTACATTCTAGGACCCTGTGGCTCTCTCCAATGAACTCTCCTGCGAAGCTGGGAGTCTCTCCCGGCACCTCAACCCCCACAGGTGTTTTCAATTGGTGTTTTGAGGCTTTACTTCCCCGTGCTAGAGCCCTGGGGTTGCACAGTCTGTCTCACTCCCCAGTTTTGCCTAGTTTATCTGTGGGCAAATGTGGGACCACCCGGTCTGCCAGCCACCTTGCGCACCGTGCCCCTCCACAGTCCGCTGCCTCGCTGGGTCCACCTATTGCCACCCCTCTCCCAGGATCTGCCAGCCACCGTTTTGCCTTGACCCCTCTCCGCTCCACCACCTGACTCCACCCCTCCTACCCGTCTGGATAAACATGTCTATTTTAACTCCTTGGTTGTCAGACTTCCATACAGTTCAATTTTCTGTCAGTACTGGTTGTTTTTTTGTTTCTAAATTTTTGTTATCCTTATTTTGGTTGTGCCAGGAGGCACAGTGTGTCTACCTATGCTTCCATCTTGGCCAGAAGTTTGAAGTTTATAAATCTTATATCACTAAATTGTACGATGTTATAAAGTTCCTAAGTAATGGATGAAGAAATATGTTTAAATTAATTTATAGATGGTTTTAAAAAAGGCTTATAAAGAGAACAAGCGAACTTGTCCTATACCACATAATTCTGGTATGGCTTTTTATATAAGTGAATCCAAAAGAGTAAATGGAATTATATTCTATCTTAAATTGTTTAAATTAGCATTTCTATAAAAAGGATTTGGATTTTTCCAATAACTCTGGAAACAACAAAACAGATTTGAATCAACTTTTGAAACTTATCACCTTCCTCCTTTTAAAATTCCTCACTGGTTGATTTTTCTGACAACACAGTTCTAAGTTCTCAAATTATCTTAAAGAGGGAGGCTATGTTTGCTGAATCCTTTCTCCTCTTGTAACCTAAAAAAAAAAAATAAGGCCTTTTATTCTTGTCCTGAAAATTCCACCCTTTTCATTAATATCACATTATTTCACAAGGGAAAAAAGACTAAGCTGCCAGGCGAATGGGCAGACTGCTCCTTGACATTCTCTGCCTTGCCAAATCCTCTGGACCTGGCTCAGCTAAAGCCTCCCCAGAACATTTCAGATCACACTTCTCATGCCAACCCTCCAAATTTAAATTACTTAATCCATAAGTGGTTTATGATAATTTTTTCCCTTAAATTGGAAATACAGCATTAAAACCTAAGAAACCCGTATAACAGAAAAAATATTTATGCTGGATTGTTTAAGGGACAAGGGTCTTGAAGTCTACAACCTGTTTTCAAATGATTCAATAGCAACACAGGTATATATATGGAGAGCAAAAGCAGGTGGAGGAGGAAGAGAAGGCAAATAGCATAATGTTAACTGTTGCATCTAGATACAGGGTGCATATTGAACTTGTCTTTAAACATGTGCTTCAAAAATTCAAAATAAAAACAATGTATTTTTTTTCTCTTCTGTTACTCTACAAGTAATTCCACTGAATGAAAACTGTTTCAGTTAGACTTCCCTATAGTCCTCCATAAAGTTCCTTTGTGAGAAATAACTAAAATGACGACTTCAAGTACCTTTCCTGTGTTATGGAAGTTTGGTGGAATAAAGTTGTTGGGATTAGTAAATTAGAAAATTCTCATATTTTAGAAATGCTCAAAATTTACACCCTGGCTTAATGAAAATACTCTAATGTCGGCATCTGGAATATAGAACATCTAAAGTTTTGATGTTGGCAGGAACTAATCTTATATTTAGTCTTTCTTGAAAGGTCTTAAAGTTTAATTTTATTTTATTTTTTAAATATATTTTATTGATTATGCTATTACAGTTGTCCCATTTCCCCCCTTTCACTCCCCTCCACCCTGCACACCCTCTCCCACCCACTTCCCCCCCTTTAGTTCATGTCCATGTGTCATACTTATAAGTTCTTTAGCTTCTACATTTCTCATACTATTCTTACCCTCCCCGTCTATTTCCTACCTACAATCTATGCTACTTATTCTCTGTACCTTTTCTCCCTCTCTCCTCGTCCCACTCCCCTGTTGCTAATCCTCAATGTGATCTCTATTTTTGTGGTTCTGTTCCTGTTCTAGTTGTTTGCTTAGTTTCTTTTGGTTTTGCTTTAGGTGTGGTTGTTAATAATTGTGAGTTTGCTGTCCTTTTACTATACATGTTTTCTTTTTTATCTTCTTTTCTTAGATAAGTCCCTTTAACATTTCATAAAATAAGGGCTTGGTGATGATGAACTCCTTTAACTTGACCTTATCTGAGAAGCACTTTATCTGCCCTTCCATTCTAAATGAAAGCTTTGCTGGATAGAGCAATCTGGGATGTAGGTCCTTGTCTTTCATGACTTGGAATATTTCTTTCCAGCCCCTTCTTGCCTGTAAGGTCTCTTTGGAGAAATCAGCTGACAGTCTGATGGGAACTCCTTTGTAGGTGACTGTCCCCTTATCTCTTGCTGCTTCTAGGATTCTCTCCTTCATTTTTACCTTGGCTAATGCAATTATGATGTGCCTTGGTGTGTTTCTTCTTGGGTCCAACTTCTTTGGGGATCTCTGAGCTTCCTGGATTTCCTGGAAGTTTATTTCCTTTGCCAGAATGGGGAAGTTCTTTCTTATTTGTTCAAATACGTGTTCAATCTGTTGCTTTTTCTCTTCCCCTTCTGGTACTCCTATAATTCGGATGTTGGAACGTTTAAAGATGTCCTTGAGGTTCCTAAGCTTCTCCTCGTTTTTTTGAATTCTTATTTCTCCATTCTTTCCTGTTTGGTTGTTTTTTTCTTCCTTCTAGTCCACTCTATTGTTTTGAGTCCCAGTTTCCGTCCCATCACTATTAGTTCTCCGTGCATCTTCCTTCATCTCTTTTATGGTAACCTGCATTTTTTCATCTAATTTGAGCCCCAAATCAACCAATTCTGTGAGCTCTCTGATCACCAGTGTTTTGAATTGTGCATCTGATAGACTGGCTATCTCTCGGTCGCTCAAAAGGATGAGTCCTGGGCATTGATCTGTTCTTCTGTTTGAGACGTGTCTCTCTCTCTTTTTTTTCTTTTTGGCCTGGTCGCTCCTG